TGTAGCCAATAATTACTAAGATATAGTTCATGTTTGTTCAGATATCAGAACACAGGCAGGCTTCTGACTTCGAAACCGAATCCTAGACAGTGTCACGAAGCCAAAGGTGAAGCCGAAGTCGGTGGCTTCAAAGCTTCGCACTGCGAGCCGAAGCTCATGGCTTCGCATTTTGAAAACGTAAAGCCGAATCCAAAGCCCGTGATTCGAACTTAAGGAACGAGAACCCAAACCCGAATATATTAGTTCCAAATCGGAAGGCCGCAGCCGACGCTGCATTACGGATGCAGCGTTGTGATGCAAAACCAATTCCATTTTCGCGTCAGCTAAAACTCCATCACGCACATCGTAAGACTTTTGCGGAGTGATTGAGACAAGCTGCTGGCGTTATGGATGGGACAGTTTGGGGGACTATCGCCACCGTCTCCTGCCCAAGTACATACACAATGTTTTCTGAAGTTAACCTCCGACCGTCGTCATGCCCTGAGGAGAATGCCCGGTTAGCTTTGGCTTTCAGCCATGTATGCGTCGCAGCCTTGAAAGTGTATGGTATTTGAGAGTGATAGGGATGAAGACCTTCACTTGCAGTCATGTCAGGTTACAGATACGTCGGTGCGTGCACAGTGAGACGGGGTACCATTTCCACTTGAAAAGCACATTTAAGGGAATGTTTCACAATTTCAAACATGGAGGCAAGGCATCAAATATGATTTGACCATCAAATGTGCTTACTTCTAACTGTTGGTACGCCTTTGAGTTTACAAGCTGTTCTATATAACAAAATTAAGGTGGCGAAATTCATGAATTCTGAACCAAAAATGGCCCGATGTTGTGCTTTTTAATGCAGTGCTTCATCGACTCAGCCTAGTTACAACTTTGTCGATACACAGCACACACCTACAACATACTTAGAGCGGCACGTTCAGCTCATACACGACAGATTGAGCCACAATTTGGAAATGTAAGCACAAAACCCAGCTTGGATGTTTTCTGAATGGCACTTTCGGGGCATCGCATAATGTAACTGGGACTGAGAGCCCACATGACGTCATAGTAATCTGAAGGTCAGAACACAAACAATCTTCGTTGGTCAGTCAGCTGTGTGCTTGATGGCTGACCATCTACGCCTGACATAATTCGGGTGAATTAGAAGAAACATAACATACCGAAAGGCACGGCCACGACGGTAAGTACGTTTAAATGACACCCTCTCGTTCCATCGCTGAGCGGAGTTGGGCACTCGATGTCACCCACCTGTCCAAGCTCGTCGAAATAGTTGCTGACGAATTCGCCTTGTTATATTGCTTCCCTGAGAGGAATTCGGGGTCGCTCGCGCGGCACACTGGATGTACTGGTGACTTCTCATGCGCCACGCACACTCACTCGGCCCCCCTTGAACTACGCATCCACTTGCCAAGGACCATTCCACCTCAAAGCCCCACACCACTGGTGGCCCTCGCGCTTCTATGATTGCCCTGTGCCATAAAGGTCAAGATGCCGATAAATACGAGAGATCGTGCTTCCGACAGCTGATTGCAGCTCATGACGTCACGGGGGCGTGCAACGAATCAAGGCTTGGCTGGTCGCTAAACATACATTTTCCCTCCATCTCGAAACCAATGCTAAGAGCAGGGGCGGGTCCAGGATTTCGTCAAGTGGGAAGAGGGTACGCAACCTTGTATCCCTCGTAGATTTTGAGGCCCTCCCAAAAATACATCATCGCATTACAAGAAGTAAATTGTAAGAATTTTGCTATGTTTTTATACGGGAGCCCATTTCACAGTGCACAACCCTTGAAAACTAGGCGTGCTACGCATACACAAACGTAGAGCTTATTAATTTTCTCCAGGTCACGGTGTCATTTTGAGGGTGTGTTTTTCTGAAAAAGGTGGCGAAGAAACTAAGATTGGTCGCTAAATACTATCAGAATCAAGTGCAGAGTTGATTTCCAGCTTATTTACGGCTAGTCGGCAGGTCGATGTGATCAGCTGATGGCTGATGACTAATGCAGATCCGCTTTATCTGATATGAGAGACCACACAATATCCTAGCACTCAAAATATGCCAAAATGTGATGAACAAGTACATCAGGTGTCGCAAATTCAATAACCAACGAAAATCACACAGATCGACGTCGGCGGCATGCAAAATTATGTACAACTCCACGTAAAATTCATCGACGGATATCTAACTGCTGCTCCACGGCCAAGGCACCAAGGCCAACATGGTGGGCCCCTGCACGATGGTAGTTCCCCGGCAGGCTGGCATATAGATCCCGGCCAGAGCATGGTACCCTCTGAGCAAAGGGAAATTACCCAAGACCAGTGTACCCGCAGTAATACCCCTGTGCGATCAAGGGTGTCCGGGCAGGTTAACGGAAAGGGTCCCGATAGGAGTGAAGGGTCCTCCGAAAATGAGATCAAAAGAAAAGGGCCCAGATCAATGGAGAGGGCCTCTGGGAATCGAGTGGCTCGGTGCCTTACCCCGTACGGGCCCCAGGAACAGTGCAAGGCCCTCCGAGCAAGTGGAACGAACCCGAGACCAATATGAAGGGCCCTAAGCAACTGAGCGTTTCCCGCCACATGGGACTCATGACCCTGGACGTGGGCAAAAGCGTCTAGAGCCTGTCGGGCGAGTGGCGAGAATCCACGGAGGACCCCTGATCGGTCAAGAGTGTCCGGGCATGGTATGGCCGCAGAGCATACCTGCCAAGGCCAAATAGCGAGCGCCTGATGCGACTCGAACCCACCCCGTCACCGGTGGATGAATCGGAAGGTAGGAGATTTGATCAACTGAGCCAGCGGGGCGGACTTTGAAGAAGAAAGTGGGGCGATTCCGGAGAGAATCTCGCTTGTTGGCGTGTTTTGGCGGGTGGGTTACGTCCGGGGTGTCACTTTTTTAAAGATCTTTTTCGTATCTTTTACCTGGTCTGAGCATATAAGCAAATAAGGGAATGCTGGGCTAATGAAATGCAGCAAGTGTCTGGACTGCTGGTACACTAGGTACCTAAACACACCACCGTGGATACCATCATCATATCGCATCACTATCACCATCACATTGGCTTCAAATCGGAAGGTATTCCTTTGACATACAAGAATTGAAACTCACCTCTATTTTTTATTTAATTTTGGCATCGAGCACGCAAATCAAAGTGGCCGAGTTCTGAGGAAATCGAGATTTCGGTTAGGTCGCCTTTACTGGCTCA